TTGAACATCTGTCAGGAAAGCAAAAGGGATTCCCTGATATTTAGTATACCATTAAATAAATAAATACAGTGAAATCTGGATCCATTTTTTAATCTCTTACTGACACTTTTTTTCTCTGCCCTGAATACTCTATCTTTTAGATACGATTTGGTCTTACAAAAAGCACCATTCCTTTCAGATAAAACTGGTGTGAACTTCTCCTGTTAATGACAGCGTGGTGTCTTTTACTGTACTAAGTGCCAGGAATTATTTGTAAATCTTTTTCTCGTTTTGCTCCTTAAAACGGCAGCACCAAGGCAAAAAACTTGTTATCTCTGCTGAATTGTTTGCAGGTCTCAGTTCCAACAGACCAGTCACCCAGACAGCTAATGTATGAGGGAAAGATTAAGTGGCAATGATGGTGGGAAGAAAAGCAAGGTGATGAGAAAAAAAATTGCTGATACAAGAAGGGAGAGCATGTGTGATAACCCACACAGTCATGAGAATCCAGCGGAGATCTAGTTTTCAGTAAGACAGAATTGCTAACAGATTTTATCCTGGTGCTGTGGTTAAGCAAAGCAGGTTCATTGAAACTCAAGTTTGCTGGGAGGCATGAGGGCTTAGATCCAAAAAGGAATATAAGAAATTAAAGTGCAACTTTGTCAGAACGTTTAATGTGCTGTAAATCAGAGTTATGAACATAGTAAGTGGGTTTGGATTCTGAGTCTCTGAGTCTTCCGTGGCTTAATCCCTCAATTCATCACAAGTTTCACCAACAAATCAACCAAGAAGTAGAGGGCTTCACCAAGGCTGTGATGGGCAGCAGGCTTTCTCCAGACTGAAGAAATTACAAAGAGGGCAATCCAGGCATGTGCTCTTCAACCATGAGCTCTAACCTCTCCTGGCAGTTATGAAATCCTAAAAGATCCTATAGGTCTCAAAACACCCTTTGCCTATTCAACTGAACAGCCTCTATAGGACAATTTTACGCAGCTAAGAATTTCCTGGCAAAATCTCCTGTCTTGTTTTCACAACACTAGGTAGATACTTACTCTGGCAACATCTGAGTAACGCAAACAGCCACCACACACTCTAGAAGAACATTCTTCTCTTTGAGCCAGATATCACATACTTTAGTAACATAGGTCACCATTTTTGCCTTTTATGGCTCTAAAATAGGCATTATTAAATTTTCTTTTTACAGCGTAGTGTCAAGTATTGCAGTTACTGCAGAAAAGCTCATATTTGCCTATTTTTTCATTATTTCAACAAATTTGTCTGATACAAGTGCTTCGTAATTAAATAAAAAAGAGCATTCTCTGTAGGAATCGATCCATAGAAACTTTTGAACTCTCGGTTCTGCTGAACAGTTCTGCTCTAAATTATTTTCTACTGTTAGAGAATACCTAGATCATTTTCCACTTGTGCATCTTCTTCAACATCTTCAACAATAAAGATAGTCATAGCACTACAATTTGTTATCAATCCAGGCAAGAGAAAAAAAAAAAAAGGCTTCCTTTGAGACATGAGATCAGTCTCCTCTTAACTGAGTAATTCTAGACTTTGTGTATGGCATAAAACGTAACCTACTCTAAAAGCCAATGAAGATATATCTGGCAGGCAAAGGTTGAATGTCTAATGAGTAATAATACACCGAGCACTTAAGCATGCAAATATATTTATGTAGAGTTCTCACAGACTACCGCTAGGAGGTGCAGTGCTGTTGCTGCTGGCATGCTGCAGCCACCTCCCCTTACTGCACAGGCAGTGATGTCCTCCTGTGGAAAGACTGAGATATGATCCGTGCCACGGAAGCAGCTCATTCATGGCAACACACGGCACAGGACCATGAATCATAAGCATAACATTACTGCTGTAAGATCCTTATAATTGCCGTTTTGGCTACATTACTCGAAACAGCTTTGTGACTACTGAGAAACTGGAAGACACCCACACAATACCTTCTGCATTGAAAGTACAAATGACTTCCTACTGCAGTAGTTTGGGACAATAAATTTATCAAAGAATAAAGTTAATTAGCACGTACCAAAACAGATGGACGCTGATAATGAAGTGTTCATTGTTTAAGATTAGAGATTTCAATACAATATTTTTCATATTAGATGTATTAGCTTGAGAAATGTAAAAGCTCTTTTCTATTGCCAGATTAAAATACTGCTCTTGAAACTGCAAAGTTAGGTCCAGCCTCCAGTCATGCTCATCAATTAAAATTTTCCCACACTTAAGCTGACACACCTAGGAAAGTAGGTAGATTTTTCTGAAAAAATATTATTGTCATTTCTACTACTTAGGCACATATTAGGCTTCCATTTATAAAGTAACTACATGGAAAGACATTGAAAGGAGATTGCAAAAAGTTAAAATATTGTATCAAAAATCTTCCAAGAGCAATGCAGAGTTTCTTCTCTGATGCATCACTAACCCCTCCTGTGAATGAGCGCTATTGTGAATAATCATGAACATCGCTGGCAAGCTTACTGTTAAATGTTTGAACACCTCATCATCTACCTGCTAAAACTTCCACAGACAAAGGTGACCTACCAAAGTTGCATATATTCCAAAGAATTTCCCAAAGCTGTAACTTGTTGACTGTTAAATGGACCTAAAATAATAACAGCAAGGTTTAATGAACTGGTTCAATGTCAGAGTTCAATAACTAATCCAAAATACTCTGAGAGATGAAAGATGAAAAGTTTCTCAAGGTACTTCATATTATCCATTGTCTTTTCTTCTTGAAGATAGTTCTCTAGCTCTTTGCTATTAGTTCCCACTTTGTTGCTTCTGTGCTCAGAGAAGGTGCATTAATCAAAGGATTTATTTTAGAATAGATCCAAAACTACAGGAATAAATAAAGAATAAAGGCAAGTAAGATACGTAAAAGTCAAGCTGTTGAAGTTTAAATGCTGACATGATACTGCATATTCATCACCACAATAGCTGTCAGCTTTTCTGCTCAGGACACTGTTCTTTGATTCTTCTATTTATCTTTAAATTAAAAAAAAAAAAACAAAAACACTAGACGTTTTGATGTTTACTGGTGTTTCTTCTATTTAATTTAGTATTGTTTCAGGTAATAAATCTTAAGGGACAATACCTGATTAAATCAAATCAGTAGAGAGAAACAGCATGAACTAATGCTTGCTCTTTAGGACAAACCTACTAATTTAAATATCATACACAATCAATAAACAAATTGAAAAAAAGTGAGTGACGAACCAATATTTCCATTTTTCATTAGGAAAGTGAAGGCATGGGAAAAATCAGGAGAAGCTTCTCATAGAAGCTTTTTTTTTTTTTAATAGAAATCACAAAGCGAGTTTAGTCATGAACATTAAACTCTGCTAACACATGAGCCATGTGACTCTTTTTTTTTCTGAACTGAATTTCATCCATCTGATATTTAACTATATTACAATCTCTCTTATATAGTAACTCAGAAATGGCACCAATCAGAGGAAAGGAAAAATAGCACAAAACTGAAGTCAGAAAAATAACAACATCAAGGTCAGTATGGTTTCATGCAAACCATCTTAAAGCCTACTGTCAATAAGAGCAATGTAAGCATTAAATTTTACAATTTCTCATATTGAAACTGGAGCAAGTAATTCCATCATTGGATTTTTTTATTTCATTGTACTTAACTATTTTTAAGAGAAAAAAAAAAAAACAGGAAGACATAAAACATAATATTGTGCACTATTTGCAGTACTTGTTCTGCACTGGCTGTATAGACAAGTCAAAGTACCAAGAACTACCACAGCAGAAACAAATGGGACCATTTGAATCTAACCAATCATTTCCATTCATTTCAAGATCTTCACAAAGTTCTAAAACCACTAATCATATGTAAATATAAACAAGATGTTCACTGCATTTGGCATAGCTGGTTCATTTTTATGTTAATTTTTTACATCAAACTATCTATAAAGACAGAAGGAAGAAGATATATGGAACAGAGCTATCCTACTTGTCTGGAAAAAGCCTTCCAAGCTTGCAATGAACCGCAGAAACAAGACACTTATGCAAAACTTCCACAAAATTTCCTGAGTTATCTCAATGCATACTATAAGGAATTAAAAGTATCACAGTGATAATAAATTTCATATGATGAATTTTCAAATATATCCCTACAGAGCATGGGCAACTGGGAAGGGAAAGGGAAGAGAGACTTTAATATAGAGCAATACTTTCTCAGACCTGAACTGTGTTTGAGTTGGCTCAGTATTCCACATGAATAATACTAACAAGTCATGGACACACATCATGGAGTTAAATTAGTGCAGGCAACTATACAGACTCTTCTATTTCAGAACAAATGCCTTTCTTAGTGCAACAATTTTTCTGTGGGACTTTAATTGGTTTCAGTTAAACTATTTTAATTAATCTGTGTAAGGAATCACTTTATTTAAATTATCTTTATTTTAATGGCGGAACTCACTAAGTGAAAAGATCTTTAAAAATCCTGAAGGTTTATCTTGAGGGCCCTTAGTGTCTGTCATTTGGAACAGCTGTAGGCTTCATGCAGTCTCACACACCAACCTCCATGAAAGGAAAAGTTTTTATGGATATGGACAGACAGTTTTTGCCATATATGTATACAGTTCCAGGAAAGCATCTTTATTTTCCTCTGACCAATTATTCCCACATGAGAACTGCTTTAGCCTGATGCTAAAGTTCAAAATAGCTAGCAATTTAGCTCTGCTGGGCATGACCATGTATATTTAATCCATTAGAAACTGGCTCGTTCATACTCAAAACATCTGCAACTGTTGCATTACCTATCAAATTTTCTTTTTCTGAGCATATTTTGAAAACATTTCATCTTTTTTTTTTTCCTACCTGCATTATGTAAAGGAAAGTTACTTTTAAATTCTCCCTGAAACACCATCACCAGGGTACCTCATAGGCATATCTAACATTAAATCATATTTAACATTTTTGTAAAATCTTGGTTCAAACATGAATAGCTTATTTTCAGTGTTTTAAAATATTTTGCTTACCAATATCAGCTTCCCTGTGATTCTTGATATATTCAGCAAGCTCAAAATTTCCTGCTATTATAGCCACCTGAAGGATTGTAAAATAGTTAAAATTAATATCTTGTCATAATTCATTAAGTAGAAAACATGCAAGTTATACTTATAATAAACATCAGACATTTCATTTTGTAAAATTGATTGTTTATTTCGTGGACATCTCTACTTCCATTCTTCAATTGTTGCACACAATGCATTGTGGAAGCAACATTATGAAATGATATTACAATCTACGTGAAAAAGCAGATCAAGTCTCCCAGTTGCCCATTAAATAAGGTTGCTGTGATCATGGGTGTCTCTCAGGCAACTGCTCTATGATCTGTGGAGCTTTTCATGTTGTGGCATTCAAAAGCAGCATCCCCAGCACTCTCAGGGCTGTACTGGTCTGGAGAATTGTATAATCATAGGTTGTGAGAGAGATACTAAGACATTATTTTCCCTTTATTGATCCTCCTTGTTCCTTAACTGAACATTGATTCAGAAGCTGCACTGCAGTGTACGTGGGATAACCAGGAAAGAAGTACCCGAAACTACAATAAGTCAGGTATCACTAAGACAGCAAAGATGACTACAAAAGAGAAACTTCAATAGCTTATGCATATATAAATACAGTGTTTATTAAACTACACTTCTGGTAGAAAAAACTATTATTATCTTTTTAATTTATTTCCTGATTGTAAAACGTGGATGCGTGGCAGACTATTGCAAGTCCTCATCTAAATGATCTTAATAAGAGAAATATCTCCACAGGATAGGAAGAAAGATTTGCTTATGCTACTGCTATTTCCTCTCTTCTTCCTCTCCTGTTCTACTGCGAATCTCCATGAACTCCCTTTCCTTCACTTATTTTGAAGCTTTCTTTTCTCCCAGGGTCACTGCATCTTTCTTAATGCTGGTAAAAGTGATACACTCAGCTCACTTTTCTCATCAGAGCTTCTGCATATACAGAGTGAATCATAGAATCATTAAGGGTGGAGAAGACTACTAAGATCATCTAGTCCAGCTGTCAATCCATCATCACCACCCCTACTAAATGACATAACTAAACGCCAAATGTACACATATCTTGAACACTTCCAGGGATGGTGACTCTACCATTTCCCTAGGCAGCCTGTTCCAGTGTCTTACCACTCTTTCTGAGAAAGAATTTGTCCAAATATCCAACCTTAATGCAGGCTGGGAAAAAGAAAATAAAAATCTTACTTAAGGACTTCCTTGGATACAGCGCTATAGTCAATCATAAGAATAATTTAAAATCAGAGGAAAAGTCTGAGTTGACGACCAAGAAAAATTGTCAGCTGGTCTTAACCATTCAACTAATATCAGACATGAAGAGTAATGAAAAGAATGACATATTCTTAGAGAGGTGTATGAGGTACAATTAATACAAGTAACATTTCTTAATGTAAGAAGTCTAAGGTTATACTTCTCTTACTGCAGAAAATTTCCTTAAAGAGTAAGTTCTATTTACTATTAACAGACACAAAATAATATGGAAGCTCTCAAAAATGAAGACTTTATACACTCATGACAAGATACAGTTAGAAAATCTCAACTATTATGTAGGTAAGAGTTTCCAAATCTGTTTTAAATGGTAAGCTTAGAGGAGGCTTAAATCATAAGCCACATTTCGGACATCTACTTCATTTCAAAATAAAAAAATTATACAAATTCTCTGCGCTTTTCATTCAGCATGCCTCATTTCATACACTATATCTCTTTCTGCATTAGTGAATCTTGTGTAGGCCTTAGGCTTATTATATATCCAATTAGAACACTGGAACAAGTCTCATTAATGTGCAGTCCTGTGATGAGTATTCGCAGCAGGAATGGTGAACTGTCTAAGAAAAGAGAACTCATTACAAAACTCCTAAATAAAGCTAGATGGGAATAATTGACAGATTATTGCATTCTCTGCTCTACAGTCCTTCTGGTGAGCTCACTTTAAGGCATTTACACCTAAGACTCTCATTGAATTAGTCCTCATGCCACAAGTTATCACTCACAAAACATTTCTGGAAATCCCTGCAGAATAACCCAGATATAAAAAAAATGCTTTCAAATACACTGAAGTAGTCTCGGACTTATCTCACAGTCTTAAGCAAGCAGCAGTTGGTTTAAGGAGAGACAGGCTGATCTAGTTCAGGCTGTAAAATTTACAGGCTAGGAAATATAACCATGCCTCCAAAGAAATCACTATGTTTTAAGTATAATGCAGTATCATAATGACTTTTTCAAACTATCAAGAAAAGCTTAAAACAAGCAACAGAACATAGCATTTATCATGTTTACATCCTAAATCCAAGTCCCTCCCTCCTTTTTCTTCTTTAATGCTTTTCGGATGTTTTTTCCTTGGCAAATTGTTTCTTATTTCATTATGAAATTCTATCCAACATAAGGGCTAAAGACAGTAATTAAGTTTGTTTCTCATTTCAAGTGTCTTTATGTGATAGCAGAAGCTCTGATCCACATTTACACAGCTCCTAGCAGTTGTACTCAAGAGATATTTATTTGTGCTTTAAAATAATCTCCAGTAGACAGCTATGAGCATCGCAAATGCAATGTAATAATTTTTGTCTCTTAAGTAATTGATGCACATAGATTAGCACCATACTTACCAGTAATAATCATGTAATTTCTCATTACGATATTAAACATAAGGAAATATTTTGCTCTGGGCACTTCTCAGATGTTTTAGATTTAATACTTGATTCTTGTGAGCAGAATGTTTTGTTATTAATCAATAATGCTGGTTCTAATCAATTCCACTTCATTTAGACTGCAGTTGACTGAGATATATAAGATATCTGCATGCTCTATTGTCTGCAGAGATCAGTAAGTTCAAATAGAGCTAGATGGATATGGTGGAGCACTGCCACCTCATCATCAATAGTGATAGTTATTCATCTGAACATTATTAATATTTTAACCATTAGTCAAAACAACTGTATTCCAGGAACTAGTCATGAAAAAAAACCTTTCTTCTCAGCATTGATAATATATCCAAATCCAGCCCTCAGTGGCTAGTTTTAAAGTGCAACTTATCATTCAACCTGGTCAATGGCACTATAAAAGTAACAGAGAAGCTATGCAAATCCTGCCTGTTTAACCTCTATTCTGCAGTCTGCCTCATAAAAACAACATTTGTATATAGATCACAGAGTGTTAGAAGAGCAATAATACCTTTCATCAGCATTACCACTAATTGGCATGTAAAATTCAAGCAGGGAATTCAGCAGTGACAGGCAGCTTGCTAGACAGCCGCCATGTTACTCAAATGAAAGAATGTTTGATACAAAAAAGATTTTAAAACTCAAATAAAGCATGTTGTTCAAGTGACAAATACGTTTTATTACTTGAAAAAGAGAGCTGAGAGACAGCTTGACAGAGAATTGTTTCTGAATCAAGCACTAGATTCAGCAAGCTCAAGGTATCAACTCTTTTAATTCAATTTGCTTCAAATCAGTAGAAACATTATGTAAAATTCCAACAGCAAAAATGAAGGCAAGTATGGTAAGATCTAAAGAAAGCAAGTAAAAAAGTACAAATATTTCTTGGCATAACGTCAATGTGCTTCACTTGAATTTGATGGGTAAAGAGTGTGGGAGAAAGTGGAGTCAGAGAGAAATCTGAAATATATAAAATGATATTCATTCAGATTTTGCAGTTGCAAACGAAGCACAGTAGCCTCTTTTCCACCAAAATTCTTCTTGAACCAAAGTAGCAGTGTGATCAGACGAAGTTATTAGTGTGAATGCATTAGGGCAAGTGAGCAGTCTTTATATGATCAGAACAATGCGCTTCAACCAGTACAAATTTAATACAAAATGAAGCAGTCCAACTTTTCCTTTGAGTAACATGAAAACTTCAGTGGAAATTCATTGAAGTTCTATGATTGTACTAAATTTCGTTGTATTTTAGAAAGAAGTATTAGAAAGAATATAAAGTATTCACGTACTTTATAAAACATAATAGAGTGATTTCATAATTTACATGTTGTTAAATATCCATATTTCTCTTGCAGGGATATTATACAGTCAGATTTCAACTTGACAGGTCACTGCATGAAAGAAAGATTTCTTTGTCTTTCTTTTTGGGGTTACAATACATCTCTTCTTGGCAGTAATAAAAAAAACAGCACCAGCAGCAGAAGTATAGTGAAAGTCTCTCCCAATTCCAGTAGGAATTGGATTCCAGTCATCAAAATGCACCACATGCATGTTTCCAGACATGAAATATTGCCATGAAAGGATGGAGCTAGCACTTTACAGCTAGAGGCAAGCTACAGATTCTATTATGCTGAAGCTTCAAAAATTGCAGCTCTTTAAAAAACAGCATATAAAGCAGTCTTATGATATTTCAGGTTCATGTCCTTTGTGAAATTATTCTGTAAAACTTGATAAAGTCTGGTTATCTTCTCAAAAAGTCATTAATCTATGATTTCCACTCAAATCTGTAAATCTTTTACTCTGTTTTTAAAGGCTGTATTTACTATGCATTGGCTCCAGAATCAGAAAGACTGCTCCTGCAGCATCCCAGCACAGTGACAATGAATGTCCAGCTGAAAAGCATAACTAAGCAGTTCAAGTACAGTGCTTTCTCGCCCAAAGTAGAAGGCAAATAAGTCTACATTATTGGAGCCTGGTAGATGTCCAGATACAGGTTTCAGCATGAGAGAGATTCATAAAGGCTTTCAGACTGTAGCAAGTACTGTCTCGCAAAAGGCTCTCTTTTTAGCATGGAAACTGCAGCTGTCAATATATCAATTACTTACCCTCAAGCATTTAGGTTTTCTGGATTTTAATTCATGCAGTGCTTTGTTCCTTTTGGGAAATTGGAAATTATATGTATGCTTTACCTGTCACTAACCTTTCACAATTGGTTTTCTTCTGCTCCTGAAGTGTATCGCAGGTAGAGATTATATTAAATTAGAGTAAGATCTTTGTAGCCTGTTAGCAAATACAATTTTAGAGCTTTATAGGTTGTTACATTGCCTCCTACGCCTACAGCAATAGGTTAATCCCCGAAAGG